AAACCTACTCTCTCTCTCTCTCTCTCTCTCTCTCTCTGCAGGTTTAACCTGTACGAGGGCAAAAAATTAGCAACAGAAAAGTTTCACGTGTACACAGCGCTCTCGCGGGAGTACATGTACACTTACTCCCTCAAGCAAAAGACCCAGGTCCTTCTCTCATCTAGGATTGCGGAGACTAGGAACGCACATGCAGGATTGTGGAATTGGATATTTTGATTTTGTTTATGTTTTTAATCAATATTTGTATTTTATAAATATGTAGCCCAATAAGGCACATAAACCCTCTAAATTTTATTTAGATATTAGTTTTAGAAAACTGAGAAACAACAATTACACTAAACATTTTACAACGATGCTTAGTCCACAAGTGAGAGGGCGATTTTTTTTTTCTTTTTGAATTCCTTGCAAATTGTGTGAATGCTTAATTGGCATCCTATTATATGAGTCATTAGTGAACTAATACTTGGATTTCTTGTCCTCAATGGTTTTGTATATGGCATTGTCTCATGCTACCTGTATGGAATTTCTCATATACCTTACTAATATGGTCAAGCACCACACTTAGATTTCTTAGCTTCAATAACCTTGTATATGGCATTGCCTCATGTTACATGCGTGTGATTTCACATTTACCCTGTCCATGTAGTCAAACAACACACTTAGATTCCTTGGCCTCAATGGTTTTGCATATGGCATTGCCTCATGCTATCTATATGAGATTTTTTATATACCTTGCCAATTATTCACCAACATGTTACTTCTGGTTTTTAGCCAAGAGAAAAAAAGGCCTATTATTTTCACTTGTTTCTTAAAAATGTTGTCCACAACTGGTTTTTAAGTCCAAAGCTCAGATTCGGATTATAAGTCAAAATAATAAAATCAATATTAATTTTACAAAGCTGTTGATATTATTATATATATAAAGAAATCTTTAAGTGGCCTCAACCTTAACAATAATAAAATAAAGAAATATAATATCATTTCTTTTTGACATGCTCAATAAGTTTCAAATCGATGATGTTATCAAACTATTCAATAATGGCTCTCACTATTCTTAATATGTGGTTGTCTTAATAATAACAAAAATTAGTCCGATATAGTCTAGCTTGCTAGATCAGTAATTGCTCTCACTTTCTTAATGTGCATTGATAATTATAGAGCTAACAAATTCAATTCTAATTTGACAAATGATGATTTACTCTCACTATCTAATGAATAGCTATCACCAATATGATAATTCAATCTCATTGAAAATAATAGCTCAGCATCACATCCTCATGGGTACAAATTTAGTTTTCTAAATAAATGAAAGAATACTAAGCAAAAAATGACTCAAAGTGCGTCACAACTTGGTTAAAAATAATAAACAACATTATCAATCTAAACAAAATATTCTTAATGCTTGTAGACAGAAAGGTGAATAAAATCTTCGCACAAATATACCTATATTGTTAATGAATGTCAACAAATTTTAGGGAATAAATAATCTTACCACAAAAGCTTTGTAATTGAAACCTATCAAATTCTAATTTAAGGCAATAAATAACTTACCACAAATGCTTTATAATTGAAACCTGACAAATTCTAATTTAAGGCATTAAAGAACTTATCACAAATACTTTATTATTGAAACCTGTCAAATTCTAATTTAAGGCAATAAAGAACTTACCACAAAAACTTTATACTTGAAACTTGCCATATTCTAATTTAAGTCAATAAAGAGCTTACCACAAATGCTTGATAATTGAAATATGCCAAATTCTAATTTAAGGCAACAATGAACTTACCACAAATGATTTATAATTGAAACCTACCAAATTCTAATTTAAGGCAATAATGATCTTACCACAAAAGCTTTATAATTGAATCCAACCAAATTCTAATTTAAAAAGAACTTACCACAAAATCTTTGTAATTAAAACCTACCAAATTCTAATTTAAGGTAATAAAGAACTTACCAGTAATGCTTTATAATTGAAACCTACCAAATTCTAATTTAAGGTAATAAAGAACTTACCATAAATGCTTTATAATTAAAACTTGCTAAATTTTAATTTAAGATAATAAATAGCTTACTACAAATGCTTTGTAATAGAATTTGTGTAAATTAATCATCATAATATTCTTCAAAAATCCAGGTCATAAAATACTCTGAAGGCATGCAAAAATGATAGATTGGAAGGATTGTTGTGCCCGACATTTGATTTATATTATCGGCATCCTTCACTACTCATACATGATTGGAATAACTAAAGGACCCCTATAGAAGAAATAATGGATTCCTTTTTCTTTTTCTAATAGGTAAGAGAGAAT